AACCAGGACTAAGAGGCGTTTTTTTTTTTTTTTTCGGAAAGGGACTTAGAAAGGGATAAGGTTAAGATTATGGTCGATTACTCTGCTAGAAAGTTGGAGAGGCTGAGGCTTACCATGTGAGTAATCAGCATGTTTGAGGAAAGAGCACCCAAGTCAAGAATACACAGGAGAAGTTTTTTGCACAATCTAGCCAGACTGCGGGCGATGAGGTAGAGATGAGATAGTTAAAGTCCTGTCTTCCACACGATGAAACAGACTCATTTTTCATCCTAGTTTCCTTAACTATGAAGTCAAATACTGACTCCAAACTTATAAACTACTGCCCTATTACTACGCTGAACAAAATGTGATCACATATCATGAAAAAGTATTAGGCTTCACATTATTTGCTGGAAAAACAGGTGCGTTGCCCAATTAAGTGATTGATTTTCTTCAATTTTTCGAAAGGACGACATTATATACCTTTCATTTTTGTCGAGTTTTTGATGGTTCACAGGTTGAGTCACCAGCCGTCTCAAAGAGATCATTTCTTGCAAGACCAACAATAAACGAATCATTCTAAGAAAACGAAAGAAAGCTGTTTGTTTTGGTTTGCTTTGGTTTTGCATGACTCAATTCGCTTTGTGATTGATCGAGAATCTAATCGCCACCTTTCGACCAATAAGTTGCAAAATTTAAACCAATTACAAGTTGCCACTCGCTTTCCCACGGCTGAGGCAGTTTGCGAATTTAAAATGCACCATAAATCAGTTTCGTGATACAATTGTAGACTACGAACTTTACTAGTCGCACATTCAAGCATTGTGTGCTGAAAACGATTGGCCCAAAGCATAAAAACTTTACTCAAGATACTTGTGTCCATCATATCACTTATGTTCATGGCAGAACTTACAATAACGAAGATTTGTTTTTTACACTGATTAGATGCAATTTGAGGTGCTGGCTCCGGGTAAAGGAAATGAAACAATGAATATCTTTTTCAACATATGCAAGTTTCTTTGAGTTGACTTATAACCAAGTCGTAAGTGTGTATTTTTAGCACACGTTGCGGTGATTTAGCCCAAACTTCAGACCACCTGGACCCTAAGATGGTCCCATTCTTTCCGCTCAAGATTGCCCTCGTTGATCTCGCAGAAAAAAAAAGGATTGCTGGAAGTCGGCCAAGATTCTTCCTAACCTCTGGACATTTTTCTCTATAAGCAGAAGGTATTTTTTTGAGGAGAAAAAAAATGGTTGCCGGAAACTGCACCGAAATTGTTTTCTTGCTGAAATAATCAGTACACCCTCCTGATTGTATTCGTATCGACATTGTGGCTAAGGTAAGGCCTTAGCCCGAGAAATAAAAATTGAAAATAAGGTATATCTATGGCTGAAAGTTAAAACTTACGGCTATAAATTTAACTGTTAAAAAATTTTTTACACTGGATGATGTTAAATTATGGCTAAAGCAATATGAATTCTTTCATGGATAAAAAAGCACGTCGTTCGTCGTTTTTTCGTTTTTGTTTTTTTGTTTTGTTTTTGTTTATGTTTTTGTTTTCAAAAAGACGTCTATATTTATATCTTACCGTCGCAGGTCTTCGTCTGAAATCTCGCACTCTGTTTAGCGCTTCTGTGATCCGTGACTCAATTTTCGCTCTCCTAAGCGAAAACAGAGCTGGGACTCTGACTTTCCAATTTGTTTGATTGACAGCAATATAAGGAGAAATAAATTTAATTTGACACTTTAAGTTTTAACTAATAACGTTTTTTTATTTTTTACAATCGCGTTTTATTAGCGTTAAGCTGTAAAATAAGCTCATTGTTTTTGCAGCAGCATTTTTGTTATGATTGTAATTTTCAGTTACATCTATTTCGTCTGATCTCTTGCCGAAGGAACATGTTTTATTTCAACGCTACGATCACTTCGAAGTCTTACGGGGAAAGTAGTGTGACAAAATGTTACTTCCATCAGTTCACCGAAGCGTTAAAAAAACGCCAATATTTTTTTTTAAATACAAAATTAAAAATAACTAATGTAGTTAATTTACTTTTCTGTTAGTATGAAAATCATTGTGAAAAATTGAGGTTCGTTTCTTTCAAGAAAAGACATTACGCCTTGTTCGTATTATCTCAGCGTTTTAATTGCACCATTGTTAAAGAAACGTGTTGACGTCAGTAAATTGCAATTTAAATACGGCTTTGATCCTTGTTGCCTTTTGTATCCCATTCAGTCGATCCAGAAACACTCCAAGCCAACAATCGGTCCAAAATATATAATTATATGAGCTGTAAACTAATTTCAAAAAATCTTACATTTCATAACCATTTCTAGATGTGTTCTTTTGAAGGATGCCGACGGTTGGTGGAAAATATTGATAATTCGTTCATCCAATTTCGACAGAACACTGTGTTAAATATTCTGCTTATAAATATGCATTATTGACCAAAGTGGTTGTATATGTTTGCGTTTTATACGGAGCGAGAAGAATTGGAAGTCTACAAAAACACATACACAAAAATAATGAGGGCGAAATCTGTCCATCTTGACTGGAAAACTTAAAAATTTACATAATAAGATTCTCCCTAGTCTTCCTCTACTTTTGTTTTTTCATTTTCGTTTTTTTTTTCTGCTTTTTCTTTCTTTCCTTCTCTCCTCTATTTCTTTAATCTTTAGACGTATTCGATTTTCTGTTCCATTGAGGACCAAACCAATCTAAACTTGTAATTTGAATGATCTATTCGCGAACTTTGATCTTTCGGATTGGTATCTCAATCTGGTTTCGTTGTTCGTTCCTTTTAGCTGAACCATCACAAGGCACGTGAACGACACCAGCGTTAAACATGGCAATTCAAGACGAGAATTTTCAAGTCGACCCAGGTTCTTGACCATCGCATCATTTCTCCAGAAATCTCCAAGGTTACTGAAGTCGAACTACAGAAACCCACCAAATTTTTTTGTTGTCATTGTTGTTGCTTTTTTTTTGTCGAATAAAAAGCATCGTTTCTAGGCCGTTCGCTGTACGGATCGATCTCTTCTCGAATTTTTGTTCTGGTCAGCGAGAGTATCCTAACAATACGGATAGTGGTCACTGGACTGTTTCCTAGGTTAGAGGCACACAAATTTCATATAACCCTTTACACCTAAACATCAGTAAGCGTTTTCTTCAGACTGTTCTTTACAAATTTCCAAAGATGCTGTCAAGTAGAATTTGTGTAACAGTCAAGAGCTTCTTTGGTCGGTGATCATTTCCTTCATTCTCATGACCTTAAAGCGTGATTCAATAGCGATACTGTGAGGAGATTTTGGATACCAGTAACTCTTGGAGTCAAAGGGTTCAAGGCTGTTCATGATCAGTTGCTATGATAACCTCACATGTACAAAACTAATTACTTGTTGAGAAATAATAGGCCGTTTTCATTATACCACATATCTGTAGGGAAACAAAAGAGCAGTGTGGTAGCTACGTTCTATCAAAGAATTGGTGTTTAAAAATGATAACTCTGCTCTGAGCCACATTAAAAGGGAAATATGTCAGTGCCACCCACAAAAATGCTCTTTTTATGTGTAAAATAGAAATGTAAAGCTTCTATTATCATTTACTAACCAGAGTTCACAATGAGCAAACCGTACAAACACGAATTTATTTTATTCACTTCTGAAGGCTGTATTATTGAAATGTGTTTATCACCTGGCGCTATCACAGCAAACGATAAGGCTACCTCATCTCCAACGACTCCCCGCTGAACAACACTTTATCAATCATGTTGGGCAGAGCAGATGTAAGAAAAGAAATGTATTTGGAAATTATTTGACTCATTTGTTTTTTAAAGAATAATTTCACGCGATCAAACAGAAAACACCTTAAACCAACTTCAGAGAAACTTTATTCATAATTGAAGCTTCGTTTGAGACAGAACGATATACTCTGAAGTTTCTCATACAACATTAATGCATTTATTGTCGCAATTTATTTCGCAGTAAAAATGCAGTTACTAAATATTGAAAAGGCATCGTGTAATTGGAAAATGTCCGGTTTCGAAGACCTCACGCCATGTAGTGACTGATGGATAAATAGAAAGGTCTCCTCTGTACAACTTAAAAGAAGAAACAACTGAATTTTATTTTGTTATTTTGAATTCATCAGCGTTGCCAAACTTCAACTTTGCTCTATTGCTTTCAACTGGAAATGTGCCCATCAATTTTCGTAATTAATGCTATTATTTCGCATGAAAAAATATTCAGAACGGTCTTTACAATGATAAAGGCACAAAAATCACATTAGGGTGTTACCTTTCCATTGAAAATGCATTTCAAAGATGTATGTGACTTTTTATATAAGCCAACAAACAATGTTGGAAATTTTGTTAATTTAGTGAGAAGTGACAACATGGAAAATGAGAAATAAACAACGAAAATTTGCTCCTTCGAAGAAAAGCCAATTTCTCTAAAGAGGAGGCATGTATTTGTGGTATACTTCAAAACAACGACTCTTCGTCATTCTCACTTCTACGTGACTGAAAATTCACTCGTCCGGTTGGTGAAAATATATTTCATCGGAAATGGAATTCTTCATTTCGATCACTAGAGATAGAACATGAATCAATAAAGAGCTTATGGGATTTCTTTCCACCTCAGACTTTAATGGCTGATGTCACGATATCGATTGCTTTCAAAAGAGGAACTGATATTCAAGTGAGTTTGTATTGGAGCGATAATTGTGCTACCTTCGAGTGGATGATTATGGTGCAAACATTCGTACCTTCTGTGAGGATCTGAAAGACACAAGTTTACTTTCTTCCAAGAAGCGAACCGCTTGGAAACTCTACTTCCTACGGCCGTTTATTTCCACCGCAGTTTCATATCAGCAGTTTTGACGCGTACTTTTTGTGGCTAATTACTGACTTTGCAATCGAAGATCGAGAAGATATATACTGTAACAGACGAAAAAAGTTAGAAATTATTCATTTACCTGCTAGTTAGAAAAAGCCCATCTTCCATCGATCAGACTAGAAGGAAAATATAATTTCTTACCTAACCAAGGGGTTGTAACATGGCCTTTGGGCCTTTTCCGAACTTTTCATACCATCGAAGAAAAAAGTCCCTGAACCACTGAAAGGATGACAAAGACAAGCATTGCAAAGATCGTTTAAACGATTTTTATGTGAATTATGACCATAAAATGCAGCTGCTTTTGATCGCGCATCTTACCTGATGTGACATTAGCATGCAACTGACAACATTTAAAGCTCTATGTGGCAACCACCTGTCGCCGTGTTTTAAGACAAATATCAAATGCACGGAACACTTTGGGACCAAAGTAAGTACTTTTGTTGTTACCGTGTTGTCACATAATCATACAAAGCCTTATGTGATGGTCGTAAACAATAATACGAGCATCTTCATCAGCCTTCTGCTAATGAATTATTCTTAAAAGAGCATTTTCACAAAGTAGTTTGAGCAATTTCAGTCTATCACATGCAATCCATTGTAAATCTTCTCCATTCTTGTTCCTTCTTGGTTTATCATTGCCTCTTTTGTGTTTTCCTGTCTTTCCGTACACATATGAAGGTAGCTTTGCACGTCATCAAGTATGACTCAAATATTGTAACGTAGTCCGTTAACATTCAGCTGTTTTAGTGTTTTTAGTCCAAGTCTCCTAAGTTGGTGTCATGCATCCTCTTCATAAAAGCCTTCTTTTCCTTATTCATATCAAGTGGCTCCCGTTCTATCGTCGATCCAACTTGTTCAGCGAGTCTTTGCAGTGTTTCCCAAGATGGACCAGTCGTAGACTGGGTACAAGCTTTGGCGATGAGCCCAGATTCTTGCCTTCCAGCAGTATCTGCATCTGGTGTCTGTTCGTCATATATCTCTGCAATAAGTGGCTTTGATTCTTCCCTGTCATCTACCACATCGAACTCTTCGATAAGTGCTTTACTTGGTTTCTTTGAAGACGTTTCCAACCGTGCAAACCTTTCGTCTATTTCCTCGATCAAAGGTTTCCTTGCAGGTAGGGCTTTTTCTTGGTCACTGAAAGGGAGTTCTTCTCGTCGGTATTCTTCAATAAGCGGTCTCTCTTGCGATCCCAAATTACTGTCCATCTCCTCAATAAGTGGTTTTCTCTATGGAAAAAAAAAATCAACATAAATGAGAAGCTGGAAACTGGCTCTGAACCATTAATGTTTTTCGAAGAAAAAGTACGTGCACCTCTGACGATGGAGTTCTTTAAGACGACGTTAATAAAACAAGGGACCTATAGAAGACCTTTTAAGTACGAAACGTATATAAAAACGCAATAGGAGAAAATTCGATCATCGACTTTTCTCCTATTGCGTTTTTACACTATAACTAAATCACTAAATTTGTAAAACCAAATGGTTTTTTATCATCTTAGAGGTGAATGCGTAAGCATTACCAAAATATTGCTACACAAACGTCAAGTATCCTACATATTCATGATGGAAGGCCGAATGGCACTCTAAAGAATAATGGATGGCTATTAAAGCCCTAAAAAGAATTATAAGCCGTAGGCAAATTTCAACAAAGACACAGGGGATGTTCATCTACAATGTGCCTCAACACGTAGGGCCTCAGCACATTCTTAAGAGTGATCGTTGTTCGTTCCTTTTGCTAAACGTTTTGTCGTTGGTTTGGCGCTTTTCCTGCCTTGAGGAAAAAACAAATTTATGTAGTTTTTGTCACCATAAATTTGTCTCGTTAAACCCTTTGACGAGAATGGTATGCGAATTCTCCTCACGAATAAATTAGCCCGGCAAATAGGCAAGGAATAAGCGAAAAAAAAGGAAGACGTAACCTAATGGGAAGCTTTTGCTGAGATTTTTTAAGCTTTGACAACTGAAGAGTGAAGAGTGAAAGAAGCCAAGAACAATATGTGTACTCCAGTAATAATGAGGTGGGGCAGTGTGAATGAATTTTTCTTCAAAACTGAGAGGTCCTCGAATGAAAAAAGTAAATAAACTTTTGTTCATATCTAACCTTGGTATGAGAGGAGTTTAAGCTGCGAATGAAGAACGGATCCGTCACATCAATTTCCTCCAACTCGGGCAAATCCTGCGATAGAATTACACAGGGAGTTATTTTTAGTCCCTTGTTCAACCTTAAATTCCATATTGTCAGCGGAACAAGACCTGTCTGAATAACCTTAATGAATTCTTCTTAGGTAATCATATGAGGGGAAAAAGTAAAAATTTTATTTTTATTTGTAGATGGTACAGTGAGGTCGACTGTGTTATGTGCAAAATATTAAAAATCTAACAAACCTCTTCAGGGGGATCAGGGAAATCATGTGACTCTTCCCTAGGAACCTCTCGCAGTGATATCGTTTCAATGTCATCTTCTGAGGAAAGAAAGAAAACCTGATACGTTAAAAAAAAGATCAACGCTGAATACGTTATACTTGAGATAAGATACTAGTTGTTTGTCAACACCAAGCTAAAAGCGAAAAGAACAAGCTTGTGATGGGCGAAATTAACAGACTCTGGGGCTGTTGCCTTTCACTTTAGTTAAGTTAGAAATAAACAATAGAATAACAATCACAACAACAACAACAACACTACAGAGTGGGGAAAGATGACTGTGCTTGCGCCGATGGTGTTGTAGGAGCCTTCTTATCAAATAGGATGCAAAATCAACAGTAATACAAGCAAACACTAATTTACTTTACTGGTTCAGTCCAGTTACACATGAACGTACCTTCTAATTCTGTGATCAACACTCCTTCTCCTTTACGTTTCTCTTCCTCATCTAGAAACGAGCAAAGCTAATTGTAAAACATTGATAAAATTTTTGCTTTGAAATTGCAAACTATACTTGGTCATGCATGTGCACCGAATGAATGAGCTACATGAAAAGGGTTTCTTATTCACATTATATCTGCAACAACACACGTTGTTATGTCATGACCTAAAATTGTTGCTTGTCGTGCTTACTAGCATACTTCAGGAACATCTGTCATATAATATCGAACACTACCTCCCCTCAAAATACATATAAAATATCACAAAATTGTTTTTGCACGACTCACTACCTTCATCCACAACTATTTCTGTAATCATAGGACCAGCCCTCTTAACTTGAAGCTGTCGAGATCCACTAAAGATTCCTTGATCAGCTAGCTCATGGTTCTCAGTGGAAGATCCGATTGTAACAGTCTCTATTTCCTGAACAGAAGGCGTCTCAGGTTCTGAAGCTGAACAATCATTGTCGCCTTCATCCTTAGGGTCAGTGGTTTTCGTGTTAACACAATTTGTAGTTAACACACGTGACACAATTTCAGACTCCTGTTTTTCTTCAGCACGCGTTTGCTGTTGCTCAGTGTACTGGCTGTTCTCGCTGTTACTTTCATCGCTTGGCCCATTGCTGTTTTCTTTGTTTTCATCGTTCGATGTAATTTGCTGCTGCTTCTGCTCGAAAAGACACAAATGTGATCTTAAAAAATTTGCACTCACATTGTGTGGAATTTTGACACCAAATATCTATTAAATCATTTTCATTTTTCACCCAGCTGGAAAAAATTGGTGTATTCACAAATGGATTAAATAAGCACCCCCAAATATCTCTTTACTGTAGTCTTTTTTCAAACCTGGCTATACACAACTTTCAATAACATTCCAATCATGTCGAACTGACTGACCACTGGATACTTCTATTAGTTTACACTTTAAACTAAAAAAAAGAGTTGCTCGTAAGGTGGTCGATTGCTGACAAACTTTTGGGTGCCCTTCAAAATCACACAGGTCAAGGGAGATCTAAGGAGTGAAACTGAGTTTCATTTCATTGCCACATGAAGATTTATGTCATTTGTTGTATTTCCAACCAACAAAGAACGTGTATGTCTTACCCTCTTTAGCTCGTTTTGTTCCCTTATCTTCGCCATTGCTGCATGAAACAATGTTTAAAAAGAAGATTAACATATACCCTCTGGAAAATAATACCTTAACTTAAAAGTACTTCATAAATTTTACCTTAACGTAAAAGTACTTCATAAATTTTTAAAACCATAAATCTTTCGTTAAGAAAGGCTGAATCCTCTTACCATTAAAACTTTCCATGATTTTTTGTTGTTCTCGTGTGATCCATCTTTCTCTTTCTTCTCGTTCAGCCTCCACTCCACCCTTCTCCCTGAGTAATAGAGAATTTTTCCATCGAATGCCCACAGATATCCGAAATAACACTGGGTTTACAACAGGTTTCATTTGAGTGTCGAAGGTAATTCGAAACTGCATCGGTTTTGCTTCGTTGTACTTTCTGAATGGTCCAAGAAATTTGCGCCACCCTCTCAACCAATCAGATGTAAACCTTAAACCAAACGCGGCTTGGTCACTCACATTTTCCCGCGCTTTGGGCAGTTTGTTTGATTTTTTTTCTGTGTACTCATTGGCTCCTTAGGGGCATTTTCCTTCCTTCTGATTGGCCCTCGTAATAACTTTGGTTTTGGTCTTACGACACTTAATCGAAATGCACTCTATTCTACTACACTCAGTAGTTGAGCGAATTGGTAGATCGCTTTTGAACGATGGGTTTGGTTTTGGTTTTGGGTTACTGCTCCCCTTCATAATGCGTCTTAAAATATAATTAAGTCTTTGCTTGCATCTTTTAGTTGCTCACTCGCAGCCATGTGCACCAGTGAAATACAAATGATCTTAAAATGCAATGTAGAAAAACATTTTAAGTACGCACCTACAAGTACTACCTCTAAGTTTCTCATAAACTTAACCCTGAAAATGTGTGTAAACGTTATAGAATCACAGGCCTCCAAGCAAACCTTAATCTCCCTGTTTATCATTCACTCGCGTCACTTAGTGAGGGGTATTATCGTATTTGAGATTGTTTTCACCTACGTCTTCCAAGAAAAAAAGGGTTTGAATTCTTACCATGCCTCAGCACAAGCTCTTTCTCTTGGAAAAACTGGTCTGTCATCGAGGTATCTGAGACCTTTCTAAATAGGATGAGAAAAGGTAATATCCTTAACAATCTGAGTGGACGACTTCGAGTAAAATACAGTACAAATTTTACCCACTTCCGCTTATGAATCGAACGTTTTCAACACAATTTAGTTGTAACAATGTGCTACTCCGACGTAAAACAAGATCGCTGCTACAATATGTATGGAGAGTAAGTGGTTTGAGCCGAGTCGGTCAAACGTATATTGACAGGGTAATTTAGTATTATCAACTGTGTCGATAACGTAAATTGGCCACCGGAAAACCGGAAAGAGTTTTAAAGGGCTAACGCTCGAAACGTCAGCTTTAAAACTCTTTACGGTGGCCACTTTACGTTATCAACTCAGTTGATAATACTAAATTACCCTGTCATACTCTTCAACCGACGCAGCACCACCCCCTTTATTCAACAATGTATTGACCTTTGATGTTCAAAAAGTCTCGAGTTTTTCATTTCCCTAGTTTTGCTTTTTACAGATTTCTATACATTTCAATTTTCTTTCGCTTACTTTGCGAGCAGTGCCTGTTTCTGATGTTTTCCTTTGAAATTTTGCGCGGGAAACTGGCGCGCGGCCGGAAAGAATTGATCCCCTTGCGTATGCTCGATGTTTGATCGCCGTGTTAGGCGTTCACCATCGTGTTAGTCTGTACTACGGAGTAACACGTCTGACAAAATTTTAGAAACGCTAGCCAGGCGCCTTATTTGAAACTTTTGTTCACATATTGCTTTGTAAACTTACAATTTTGATGATAAAAATTTTCCTGTAATTCTTGATTTTCTTGATGACCGGGTTACCCATCATATTAAGAACATGCTGGAAGAAAACAAGGCAAACCGTGTTAAATGCACAGTGTATGAGATCAAACACTTTCCATCTTAAGATGCTACTACCGTCAACTTACAAGGTTTTCCATGGATTCAAAGACCTTCACGACATCAGGGTCGTCAATCCGGTTGTGGGAAACATCAAGAACACTGTGAAAGCAAGGGAAATGTTTCAGTCACAATTACCAAGGTCCTAAAAATATATATATTAAACTAAGCATTTTAAACGTTAACGCGAATGGCTGGTTAAGCTAGTGAAAATGTACCAGAACAGATAAATGATTGGATCGATACATGTTATGCCAATTTAATATATACCTGCAAATAATAATAATAATAATAATAACAATAATAATGATGATGATGATGACGATGATGATGATGATGATGATGACGATGATGATGATGATTTATTGCAGAGTATCTGACAGAGTGAGGTTCTTCATCTGCAATATCTACACTATAAATCAACTCTAAAAAAGAATATACATATAAAACAAGCAAAAAAAAAAATGAAAGTTAACGTGAACCATTCTGTCTCCTGAATTGACACTGACAGACTTGGACAGACAATGAGTCTTACAGCTAAAAATCACGGCTTAACTGATTAATCAGTTTACACAAACCGGACTTAGTACACTCGATTGACAACAACTATTCTCTTCACTCTGCTGATGACTTCCGCCCAGGTTGTCGAAATGTCAATCACTACTCCTAACAACAGTCCTTCTCAGGACTACACTATCACATGTTATACCCAGGTTTAAACCATTTGCTGTATAACTCAGAAAAGGTTACACAAATTTGTATCCACAAAAACTCACACAGTTAGACAGAGGTCAACATAAGTCACCTTGAACAGGATTTCTAACATTCAGAAGGACTTGGATATGTAGTTTGAATTAACCCCTTAACTCCCAGAAGTGATTAACTTATTATTTCTCACTACTGATAAAATATCCATACATTATACAGTAAACTGGTAAGGAAAATACTCAAACCTATCAAGTAGAAGTTGTCATGTTGATCTAACACCACATTCTTATAACTAATTTACAAGAAAATGTGTAGTAGCTAGAGGGGAGAATTAACAATCAGATCTTGGGAGTTAAAGGGTTAGGCAAGTGGTGAGACAGAACCAAACAGACAGAGAGTCACAGGTAATAAGTGCAAAACAGATTGACAGACACCAGGACTGACAGACAAGCAGACATGAGAAAGGAGACATTTCTTACATGTTGGAAAGACAAACAACATGAAATGGTTATGGACAGTCGCTAAAAAGGCAGAAAGCAAAAGAAGATTTCCTCTCTTTGTAGACAGTCATTAGTTGGTGCACTTCAAATGTACATATGTATTCCTATTGAAGCAGTTCTACAAGATGCATGAAAGATCATTCAATACTTTTACCTAATGAAATTTGAAGATTTCTTTAACCTATGAAGTATGTTATATTACTCAGAATCGAAATGATGCAATTGCATTGACGTAATCTCACATTGCATTGATGCAATCCCATAGAAAACTGTATTAAAAGCTGATATGAAGTCTGTAGAGCTGGACAGGTTGAAGTGAACCTGTCTGGTGAAAGCCATCAAGCCTGCACAACTTTGTTGCAAAAAAACATTGCTACATTTGCTAGTTTTACAAAAATGAGTGAGTTTTAATCATGGACTTGAACTTTTAAGAAAACAGAATTTAGAATCCAAGTTGTGTTTTTCAATGAATTGGGAGTTTCATGTTCTGACTTGCAAAAATAAAAGAAAAGTTTTCACTGTGAAAGTGGTGGTATGACAAAAATTTAATGCTCAGTCATGACACAGACCCAGCTGCATTTGTCCATACATCATGACCTTGAGCCAAATGTTTTCCCATACTGCTCTTCCACTTACTCAATAAGTATGTAATTATGAATGTTAAGTTGATGAAAAAGTACAGGTACAACCAAACCCTCATCATATTTTGTTGAAACACCTATCTCCTCTAGTCTGTCAATGTCCATTTTTTTTCAAGTACCAGTAGTCACATTTTCCTGTTACCAACATTGATGAGGGGGGCAAGAGAAAATGTTTCCGTAATTGAGATAAGGATTGAAGCCTGTGTGGCATACAAGAAGACCAAGGGAATCAAAGGTTTACAAAGACTTGATGCTCAGTTTTGGATCTGCACATATGATTGCATATCACTCTCTCCATCCCACTTTTGAATGCCAGCCTTGCAGGCTTTACAATGTAAGTTCGAACCATAAAAAGTAAAAAATCAACATTACCTCAGATTACAACATTCTGACAAATGTCTCAAGTCATCAACAGTTGACAAACGGTTGTGTGATATCTGTAAAGTGCTAAGTTTGGGTATGGCTCCTGTTGAAGAAACTGCACAATCAGGATGGAGGTACTGCAGTGATTCAATTTAGTGCCCTTGTTTCAATAAGCACCCCTATTCTTACAAAGGCCTCTATTGAATAAGCACTATCATTCCAATAGGCACCCCTTTTCCATTTCAGAGACAGCACTATTATGGTACATGAACATTGAGATCAGCCAGGTTCATGTTCCTTTAATTTCTCCTTTAAAGCTTCACTACAAAAACAGTGGTCTATGTCTCAGTCTCCTAATTATTGTGGCCACATGAGTATACAGTCCCTTTAAATGAACAATGACTTAAATTTTTTTTCTGACAATTGCTTAGCTGGCCTTAATTTTACCCAGGAAAGATCCAGGAACAACATGTCCACCTTCAAGTCTTATTGATTGTTTTCAAATAAACATTAAAGCTTTGTTCTGCACAATCTGCTATTTCTCAAAAAAGAAATATTTATAGTGCCCTTTCCTTAAAAAATGCCCTGTTTTGAATAAGTGCTTATCCTTGAGGTACCAAAAGTTAATACACTCTATAAGCACAGCAGGTGGTAAATCAAATCATTACGGAAAGTAAAATAAAAATCTGACTAGATCTTGTGTATCTTCGGGGAGGTCAGCGTGTCAGTAATTTGGCAATATTTAGTGTTTGCAACTACATGAAGGATAACAAATTAGCTACAGTTGCACAGGACTGTACAGGTATACAGTATGCAATCAATAGCAAGAACAAACTCACCAATGTTTTCAATCTTAGAAATGGTGTTATTGCTGACGTTAAGTGTATCCAGCTGTTGTAGATGTTCCACATTCTCTATCTTTGTTATGAGATTCTGTTGTAGGTACCTAAATCAAAGTCAATATTTAATAATGCAGCCAATTAACACAAAGTTGGCAGTAGATGTGGTCCACTATGAATGTGCATGGATGTGTACTCAATGTAAAACCACAAAACCCTTTTAAATGTTATAGAATTCTAATGTGGACTGTATAGGAGAACACAATCTATTGGATTATGATAAAGCTATGAGAAAAAACAAACTGAGGTAAAAACCTACAAACTCTTTGCAGTTGCCTTGTCCAATGCAGTTTACCTCCCAGAATAATTTTGGCTTTACTGGGACATAGAGGTATTGTGAAAGCTGCTCAAGAGTATAATAAAATAACTCTTGTCTATTTCAAACCAGGCTTCATCAAATGGATAAAGTTTAACTGTCATTAAAATCTGGTCAAATTTTGTTAATTAAAATTCTGTTTTTTTGCTTTCACCTAAAGAAAGTAGTAGATTAATTCATTGTAAAAATTTTTACAAAATCTTCAAAATCTTTAATCTTTAAAAAGAATGCGATACAGCTGAAAAAAATGTTTTATGGGAGCCTGTACCCCATGATTTTTTGTGAAGGCACCCCTACTCTGTTGACAGTAACCTTGATTCCTCATCAGTCAAACTGGTACAGAAATCCAATTTTGATGGTAATCAGAGTTAAACAGGCGGTAAATTTCACTGGTTACTGCCTGAAAAGGAGAACACTGCATCCCCTAAACAATAGTGGCCAAATCCTTGGATTCAGAACCCCACAAGTTTGCCATTAGGTTAATTGGTATACTTCAAACATATAAAATGTGTAAGAGACCAGAATGTATAAGTATTAATTGTCATTGGTAAATGTTTGGTATTACTATAGTCATGAAAAGTGTTCACTTAGTGGTATGTTACTTCCTAACTAATGCTTCCTAAAAGCCTGTAACTGTGATACAGGTGAAAAAGTGTTTTAGGAAAGCCTGTACCCCATGACTTTTCTTGATCCTAACTGATGTTTTCCTAATACCCCGCAAGTGATATAGGGTTATCAGTGGTGTTGAAATATTACAAGTAAGCTAATAAGGGTCTTTGATGCAGAGGAGACAGTATATTTGACATGTTTTGCACATATGTGATAATTAGTTTTTATCAACTGAACTGATAATGTAAACTGGCCACTGTACAGAGTTCGTAATGCTGACATTTCAAGTTTTACCCCAAATGTTGAGTATTTCACTTTGACGAAAGGCTAATGATCAGAAAGTTAATTTAGATTAACTCTCTACCATGGCCAATTTACATTATCAACTCACACAATGAAACCAAATTATCCTGAAATACCCCCACTGATGCAGCAGTCCACAGATTCCTTAAAAATTAATATACTCCTTTGAAAAAATACATTGCCTGCATGGTTTACTGAAAATGATTGCGAATGTATGTTTGGTGTCCAACAAGCCAGAGAGAAATTAATATGAAAGCAATCTTTGCAGTAATAAACAATACTTGAGCAGTAGTGAAAATAAGGCCTGAAAAAGTTGAAGACCTCCATGGGATTTGAACCCATGACCTCTGTGATACTAAGGCAGAGCTCTATCAACTAAGCTAACAAGTCAACTAGGAGCTGGTCATTACACTGGTTCATAATAAACCTGTGAAGTGATGAAGCCTGAGAGAGAGTTTCTACAAAAATACCATGGCAAGAAAACCTCGACAGCTCTTGCATTGGGTAGTATGTACTGTCACCTTACAGATGTTGACTGAAAAAGATCCAATAGTACTTACAAGCATCGCAACTCTTTCTGATTGTCCAGATTTTCAATCTTATGGATTCCATTGCATTCCAACCATAAGCATTTTAAGCCTGTGTACTCCTCAAGGTTTTCTATCTTTGCAAACCCTGTGATAGTAATTCAGCTAATATCACACTAAGGGAACTTAAAGGTAATAATAATTTAAAAGTACTAGATTTTTGGCACATATAAACATAACATAACAATCAAGCAATTTTATGATAGGCACAAGTTTGGAAAATTTTTCCAATAAAAAACCATTGTGATTTCAAGAACAGCTTGGTATTTCTTACAAGCATCAAACAATCTCATTTCGTTTGCACGAAGTTTGTGACAGAGAGAATTCATGATCAGTGAATATTTCTGACTGAATTGGGCACTTGAGACCATGCAAGTCAGTCTGTCCACAAATACTTTCTTAAGCGTCGACGCCAAGCGCTTTTGCAGCATACTCAAACTCGAAAAGTTCGTTCACTAAAAACAAAAATTATTTTAAGGAGTCGCTTAGCATTTCTACTTAAACATCTGATACTCTTAGCTTCAGAAGTTTAGGAGAACCTTTCACGAGATTGTTTGAAAATTTATGTCTGCCGGACACTTAGTCTATTTGAGACTGTGCACGGCTGTCGGACATTTAGCCACAAGGAAAAACAGAAAAAATATTACGGGCACCAAGCCTTCGCTTGATGAAACGACATTGGTTTTAAAGTTGATAATAAAAAATGACAACGATTAAAAATTACACATGAACTTTCATGTAACACTTGTCTAGATGACCTAAGTTAACTAAAAAGAAGCATATATAACAAACTTTTATCTCGAGTTACGTACCTTTATAATGAAGGTAGAGAACATCATTAAGATATGGTGTTCTGTACAATTTGTGATCTTTGCAAAGTTGAATTAGCACTTTCTTCGTAATCCTGTTTCGTAAAAATGAGAATTCGTCAAACCTACAGTTCTTATACCCAAATCGCCCAATAAGTGTGATCTCTTTCCTGTCATTACCTTGGATAATTATCCTCTTCTTTGTCAACGTTTTCGTCTTTTAAAACAGCAGTTGGCATGGTTCAAAAAGGATAAATCTTGTTACAAAATAACGAGCTTGAACAGAGCAATTTTCCAATATGGCGCCTTGTCATAACAGAGGCTCAGTTTCCTAGCAACACTTGTCATGGGGAACGATTTACATACGGGAACGCAAACCAAAATCGAAGAACCGGTTACACAATTAGTCACACTACATTCGCACTTGCGTTCTGGAGATCTCTTTATTCATGTACTGAATCATTCATAAAAAGACTATTACAATTAATCACTCATATCTCAAAGGAACTATTTGACACTTTTCAGTCTACCTAGTTGAGTGATATTTTCCATTTCTATACTTAAAAATTAATATCAAAGCGTTGAAATGTTTGGCTATTGTCTATTTGTTGATGTTTCGCAGAAAATTTGCCAACTTAAACCTGAAAAATAAAACATTTCAATGATATCTTATCTGCATTTTCGCCGAAACAAGCTTCTATCGAAATACAGTTGTTAATTAGCTCAGAAATTTATATCAAAGACTTCCGCTATTAATAATCAAACTGAGGTTTGAAAAACATCATAGTACAGACAAGATATAGAGTACAAACTACAGTTCCTATTTATCCTTGATGTCTTTAGCTTTTATAGAAAGTTAAACAGTTATTGCGGCGTAGTTACTCGCATTCTCCATTTCATTTCTTCGATGCTTTTTTATAAGCCCATTGTTCGTAACTTATCTCGCTTGAGTTTCCTTTGTCCTTCAGCAGTTCATGATACCTATCCCTTAGAGAACTCGCCGATTCGTTGGAATCACAAGCAGACCTCACTTTGTCTACAATACTCTGGCAATTTATCTCTGCTTTGTAATGCTTCTTGTGTGAATCAACCACTGTGTTGTAGCATCGTTGAATAACAAATGTGGCAACACCGAGGAAGAACACTGCAATTAAAGTAAGCGTTGTCTTAGGATCACTTGCCGTCGGCGTTTTCCAGCCGCGAGCTTTGTAGCCTGCCAATCAACCCACCTACCGGATGAGAAGTGACAGTTTCCATTGTATTCTGCACAGAAATTGTGGGCACGTGAGTGCACTTCCATTTCAGTTTGCAATCCACGGATGTTATTCTTTACTTTTTTCCATGCCTCCTCCTCTTCTCTTCTTCTTTGTGCTTCCTCCAGCTCTATTCTTCTTCTTTCTTCCTCTATTCTTCTTCGTTCTTCTTCCGCTTCTCTTTCTCTTTGTTCTGCTTCCTCATCTGATAACCAGTTACCCATCAGATTGGCACTCGGCAGTGATAATCCAAAACGAACCGAAGAAACCTTTTAAACTTAGTGCAAACGAACCCAGGAGCTAAACAAAAATGAAAGAGGTAAGGTCACTCTGAGAGACATCGGTTCCAGTCACTAGGCGTGCTCTCATGCTGTTGTCTGGGGCAAGTAGAGCACGGAAGGACATAAAAAACATATTTGAATGAATGAACTTTAATTAAGTGTCAGAGTATTAAGCTATATATCAGCTAATTGTGGACACTAAAAGAACATTCCAAATACAAAATTAAAACAGGGATACTACGAAAGCTAAAAACCTATTTTAACATTACAATCATTTGAAAACAAAGAAGGTCCATAATAAAAATCAGAAAGAAGAAGATCTTCACCATTAAATAACTTAATATCACTTAGTTCCAAGAAAAACTGATTTTTGAAATATTCACAAATTTATAATTATTTAGTTAAAAAGTGATAAAATTCCTTTGGAAACGTGCTTAGTTCATACTTAAGTTACAATTGGCGTACGTGCCCTTAATAAAATAAATCAAGGCTTTCTTTCTGATGTTCCAACTAAAATTGTCCAGCGAGGGTCGCTGTCGATCACTTGTGGATAGTCTGGACCAAAGGTATGGGCCCAGGTAGCTAATAGAGTGTTTTACATATCTTTTGTTTGGTAGCGAGGTATATCAAAATCTGCATTTCTTAGGGAGTACCCTTCGTTTGCAAAATTGAAATGTTCACCGATGTAGTCAGGGGCCAAACCATTTCTAACTTTGTACATTAAAATTACAATCTCTCGAAGCCTCCTATTGTAAAGAGAAGTAAAGTTTGTACTACATAGAAGATCTTTGCAAGTGTCTGTCCCACATTTGTAAATTGCCCTTAAAGCGCGTTCTTGCAGTCTCTCCAGCTTTCGTCTCTCAGATTGCTTACAAAAATGCCATACAGTTTGGCAATATACGTCAGGTGAGGAAGAATTGCTGTTAGGTACAGTTGAAGCTTAGTCTTGTATGAGATTAGATTGCGTAGTCTTATCAGCACCCCTATCTTCCTACTCGCTTTTTTACAGATGTGACTTATTTGTTCAGTGAAACTAAGCTGAACATCTATGTTTACTCCAAGAATTCTAAGATAAGCTGTTGGTTTGCATTTCTGATTATCAATGTCAAGGGTACACTCATCCTTTGCTTCCTTTTCAGTGTTTTGTGTCGTCATTGCTAAAACTTGGTACTTCTTTGGATTGGTATGGAGAAGGTTTGCCTTGTGCCAATGTGATATTTTCCGCTTCTTTCGCGAGTTCAGAGATTACAGCCTTGGTATTAGATCCACTTTGATAAACCTGGTGATCATCGACGTACATGAACAAGTTACTGATGTGTGCGTTCAGAGATTTGAAACTAGACGCTCAAGGAGCGTTCACTCGGGCTTCATATCGAGCGTTTTACTCGAGCATTCACTACGTGTAAAATTTATACGAAACAATAAAAACAATATTTCATTAGCTTGTGTACAGCTGTTCCCTACGTTGCCCTACGCCTCGAGCAACTCTTACGCATCTTTCGTGCTCTCCAAACTTCCCGCGTGCTTCATATCTCGATGAACGCACGCTGATGTATGAACCACTGTGTTAATTAGTCAACGGAGCTGGTCAGTAGATTACTTTTTCATGGCCGGAATATCGCCGAACGACCTCGCTGAACAAGAAAGGCTGCCTTCCCCTCGCTACGTAAGTAATCATTTCTTGTTTGACACATCCGTGTTTTCACTCGCATTGATATTTCATTGTTCCGCTTCGAGACACGCGGTTAACAATACTCACGAACACTGAAAGAGTTAAGATATAACCTATTAACTTTTACTATTTTTATCATCCAATCACAGGTCGGAGCCATTCCTGTATTTAGTCGCTAGTCAAAACAAAGGCTCGGTTTCCTACCAACACTTGTTATGGGGAAGAACGCAAACCAAATCGAAACCACTCACCACTGGTCACACTACATTCGCACTTTACGTTTTGAAGCTAAATATCTTTATTTATATACTAAATCGTCCTTAAAAAAAGTATCACAATTAATTACTTAAATCTCAAAGGAACTATTCGACACTCCTAAGTCTAACTGGCTGAATGATATTTTCCATTTCTTTACCTAAAAATTAACATCAAAGCGTTGTGTTGTTTGACAATTTTCTATTTATTGATGTTTCGCAGAAAACTCACCAACTTGAACCTGAAGAGTAAAACATTTGTATGATATCTTTTCTGCATTCGCCGAATCAAGTTTCTATCGAAATACAATCGTTAATTCGCTTAGAAATTTCTATCAAAAAGACTTCCGCTATTAATATTCAAACTAAGGTTTAAAAAACATCTCAGTACAGGGAAGATATAGAGTACACACTACAGTTCCTATTGGTCCTTAATCTCCATCCTTATTTTTTTTTTCTTTAGATGCTCTTTCATAAGCCCACTGTTCGTATCTTATCTCATTGGTGGTTCCCTTTTCCTTCAGCAGTCCATCATACTTATTCCGTAGAGAACTCGCCGATTCGCCAGAATCACAAGCAGACCTCGCCCTGTCTGCAATACTCTGGCAATTTTCCTCTGCTTTGTAATGCTTCTCGTGTGAATCATCCACCGCATCGTAGCACTTTTGAAAACAAAATGTGGCAAAGGCGAGGGCGAACACCAAATGCGGCACTTTCTTTCTGCGGAGAGCATCGTAGCCATGCGATATGCCGCCTACGATGAGAAGTAGGACATATAGGAGAAGCTTCAAGGTTCCATAATATTCTGCACAAAACCTGTGGGCAAGTGAGCGCACTTCCATTTCATTTTTCAATTCACGGATGTCATTCTTTACTTTTTCTCTCCAGAAAAATTCGTAGCCTATCCATATGCCTATGATGAGTAGGACAAATAGGAGACACTTCAAGGTTCCATAATATTCTGCACGTGGGAGCACTTCCATTTTATCTTGCAATCTACGGATGTAATTCTTTACTTTTTCTTTCGAAAAAATTCCACCCATCTCGTTGGCACTCGGCAGCGATAATCCAAAAACGAGTCGAAGAAACCTTTTAACTTTAATACAGGCGAACCCGGAAGCTAAACAAAAATGAAAGAGGTAGGGTCACTCTAAGAGACGTGGGTTCTAGTTCCCAGGCGTACTCTCATGTTGTGGTCTGGGGGAAGTAGAGCATGTAGGGATATATAAAAAAAAAAACAAAACTTAAATGAATGAACTTTATTTAAGTGTTAGAGTATTTAGCTATATATTAGTTAATTGTGGACACTAAAAGAACATTCCAAATACAAAATTAAAACAGGGATGCCACGGGTGCTAAAAATTCATTTTAAAATTTACAATCATTTTGAAAACAAGGAACGTATATAATAAAAATCTGAAAAAAAGATCTGCACTATTTATTAATTTAATATCACTTAGTTCCAAGAAAAACTGATATTTGAAATATTCACAAATTTATAAAATTACAAAGTGACAAAATTCCACTGGAAATATGGTTAGTTCATACTTAAGTTACAACTGGTCCACTTGTCCTCAATAAAATAAGTCAGGTCTTTCTTTCTGATGTTCCAACTAAAATTGTCCAGCGAGGGTCGCTGTCGATCACTTGAGAATAACTGGACCAAAGTTATGGGCCCAGGTAGCTAATAGAGTGTTTTCAATATCAAAATCTGCATTTATTAGGGAGTACCCTTTGTTTGCGAAATTGAAAAGTTCACCTATGTAGTCGGGGGCCAAACTATTTCTAACTTTGTACATTAAAATTACAATCTCTCGAAGCCTCCTATTGTATAGAGAAGGAAAGTTTACACTAAATAGAA